ACACACCAATGACTGTGAAAATAAAAAAATAGTGTGCTATATATATATATATATATATATATATATATATATTGCTTTTGGCCAATCATTTTTGAATCCTTTCAGAAAAATCAAAAGGTTTTAGGTTTAAACCCCACACTGGACAACTCTCAAGCCATCACCATTCTTCCCCTTGAGCAAGGTAGACTGACGGCGAAATAAATGTACTGTAAGTTGCTTTGAATGAAAGCAGCTGTTCTGTCATTCTATATAGTTCAATTTATCTCAAACCCAGTGGCACACAAATGCTCCGTTTGTGCCCGCTCACATCTGCTCAGGACTACGCCTCTATTTCTCTCTCCCTTTCTCTGCCTTGAAGGCGGCGTTGAGGAGATGGCAGATTTGTCAGTGTCAGCAGACAAATTTTGCAGTTTGCAGCGGCAGGGAGTGGACACACTCACTCTGTCACCCACACACACGGAGCACACGCTCACTCAGCTGTAGGGATTTTATCAGAGAGGGTAATATTCACATCCATCCTAACTAGCTGTTTCTCTTTCTCTGCCGGTGGTCGTTCCTCCTCGACCTCTCTGGGACCTCGTGACTCTGCAGTCTCCGTACACACCAGGGCAGAATGCCGGCACGACCCCTCTGGTCTACTCTTCACCAACCCAGCCAATGAACGCACAGCCTCAGAGCCGCCCGGTGAGTGCCTGTAATTCCATGTCATCTTTTCAGAACAGACTTCTGTTAGAAATGCTTCCTTTCTGCTGAGCGCTATGTTGTTGTTTATGGTGTGGTTTGTGGTCATTAGTAGGTGCTGTGTATATATGGTACATATAACATGCCTTGCGACATTGCTTCCTCTCAGGAAGTGCACTACATATGCCATGCACAGTTTGTGGTTTATGTGTTTGTGGGTGATCATTCTTACCTCTCGCTTCTTTCTCTCTCTCTGATTCTCCCCCTCTGCCATGCCACACTTTGCCTTCAATCAGTTTGCCCCTGGGCCTCGTCCTACCCATCACCAGGTAATGTACGCAAATGCATGGCCTCCTTTCTCACACCTCATAAGCTTTCTTAGACTAACATAACACATTGATCCTGTTCATTGCGATAATTTGGAGAGATTGTTTACAGCTCCAATACATTTAGGAGCGAGAAATGTTGTCACGGGCCCCAAAACTGTTCACTATGGCAGTGGTTCCCAACTTTTTTTTATTTCAATTAAGATTTATTACAAACAACAAAAGTAGACAGTTCTATAATGCTCTGTCTGCAAATGGCGGTTTTATATTGATAGTTTTAAAAACACTTATGTGCAATAGTGAGGGGGCGTTAATACTTTTTCTCATGCAATTATGTTAGCCAATCATAAAAGTGGCTGTTTACTAACAAACCCAATATGAAAATAGTGTGGGATAGTTCACCCAAAAATGAAAATTGCCCCATGAATTACTCGCCCTCAAGCCATCCTAGGTGTATAAGACTTTCTTTTTTCAAACGAATACAATCGGAGTTATATTAAAAAATGTCCTGGCTCTTCCAAGCTTTATAATGGCAGTGAATGGGGGTTGAGATTTTGAAGCAAAATAAAGGGCATCCATCCATCATAAAAAGTGCTTCACATGGCTCCGGGGGGTTAATAAAGGCCTTCTGAAGCCAATCGATGCGATTGTGTGAGAAAAATATCCATATTTACAACTCTATAACCCCTAATCTCTCTCTATATAGGCCATCGACCATCGGCTGTCAAAAAAACAATATCGGTCGACCACTAGCGTGGTACTATTAGTACTAATAGTAATAGTACTATTCTGGTGATGAAATTTGCTTCACGCACACTGTACGCGGCCCCTTGCGTACGCGTAAAAACCGAGGTATAGTTTGACCTTAAGTGAACCAGGACTCAATGTATCATTTTCTTTTTTGGTCTGGACCAAATGAACCAAGAGAATTGAACTGCCAAGTATAAGCACACCCTTAGACCCCAGCATTCTTCAAAATGTCTTATTTTGTGTTTCATAGAAGGAAGCAATTCATACTGGTTTGAAATTACATGACAGTGATTAAATGATGGCAAAATGTAACTTTTTGAGAGCACTTTCTTTAATGACTCATAAGTGACACTAATAATTGATCATGAAAATGATTATCCATGATGGTCATGCATTGTGACTTTTTGCTGAATTTTACATTTTTATATTGATTCCACAGAGTGATTTTTGGCAGTATTTCGCCAATCCATTTAATCAGACAGCATTTTGTCTGAGACAGAGAGACAGATGCGATAATCTATCAAAGAAGAAAGAAAATCATACAGGTTTTAAATTACATGGATTAATAAAAAAGATTGAACTGTACTTTTAAAGCATCAACTGGCAACAGACTTCAGTCTTGTAGTGTGCTTAGTTTATTAGAGGGTGTGTTTGCTACTGTGAGCTTAAACTGTAGCTCAAACGAAATGAATCCTTTTGTTCAGAAGTAATAGCCAGGTGTAGTTAGGTGATCTTGTCTGTACGTGGTACATTGTAAGCTTGACTAGCTACATGACCTAATACATTCAGGGATCACCCTTTCTGGCTCTTTAAGCAGTTTTGACACACAGACAGAAACACATAATAACAAAATAAATGTCTGGGAACACACTGTTTACCAACATATGCAGTTTAGAATTGTTTATAATTTGATTGAACTTTGAAGCTCACTGGGAAATATTGGATGTATAATTCTCCACAGTAATGACCTTTTAATTGACATCTGAATCTTAAGGCCATGTAAACATTAAGTTAAGGTCAGAATTTAGGCTAAAGATTATTTTTCTCTGTGTCAAGTGAACATTCACTGTGTAATACGAGGAATCCCAACTCTCTTTTTTTTATAACCCACTATGACCTAAATGATTTATTTGAAGTACCCGCTATGGTTCTAAAGAGATAGTTCATCCAAAAATGAATATTCGTGTCATTCCAATCCTATATGACTTGCTTTCTTCCATGAATCACCTAGAGAAAAATTTTGGAGTATGTTCACTCTGATTTCTTCCATGCAATTTAGATGCGACCAAAGGCTGTCAAACTCCAAAAACAGAACAAAACAAAAGCATCATTGAAGTAGTTAATACTACTGTAATTCAAGTCATATAGTGACTTTGTATGAGGAACAGACTGAAATGTAACACTGACTGAAAATCTCACCTTGAAAAATTGTATCAAAAAGAGCAGCTTGGACAGTGCTTGAAATATCTTCTTTTATACTCCTTTATAACACTCAGAAAAAAAGGTACAAAAGCTGTCACTGGGGCGGTACCTTTTCAAAAGGCACACCTTTGTACATAAAGAGTCCATATTGGTACCTTAAAGGTACATATTAGTACCTAAAGTGTACATATTAGTACCTAAAAGGTACAAAAGTGTACCTTTTAAAAAAGGTACCGCCCCAGTGACAGCTTTTGTACCATTTTTTCTCAGAGTGAACAGATGAAAGAATTTTCTTTTTGTTTGGATTTTTCCTTAAGTAATACTAATCTTTAAATAAACAATGAATTATGCAACATATCGTAAAATATTCCTATTGTTTTTTATTATGTTTTAATTGTATTTTACTAGAAGTATATATTTTATTGAATTCTGAATTGGCATTTCTAGCACAATTTCTTGAACCTTTCTTTGAACTTCTGTCTCTTTAAATATTGTCACAGGAACTTGTTTCTGTTCGAGACTATTTATCTTCCATCTCATTTTATCAGTTCATTGTGAGCGTCTGTGAGGGTTAGCAGATTTCAGGTCCCATTTCTTGTGTACCGCCACAAAGATGATGTCATTTAACTACCTAAAAAGCAGAGCATAGTGCCCTCTTGTTTTGTAAATGGCTTTCCCTGAAGGAAGGGCTCTTTGCATGCTCTGTACTGCAGATCTCCCCTTAAGTATGTGTGTTAGTCTCTCTCTATTCCTCCATACAAATTAGTGCATTGTCCCATTAGCTTCTCTCTCTTTCCCGCTTCAATATTCAAGGGAGGATTCAGACCCATTCAGGTAATTTGTAGTCTTGAGGAAAATGCATGGCATGAAGTCCTCTGTTTCTCTTTCAACATCATCTTCATGCTTCCCTTCCCAGTCAATAGCACTGCAGCTACCCACCCCAAAGACAGCAGAATCCTCCATTTCAGTTTACCTCTCCTCTGTATATGTTCATGTTGGTCTGATTGGTTTTATAGTGCTTGCTGTATTTTTATTTTGTTAGGTTTGCATGTTGACTGGTTTCTTTCTATATGCATAGGTTGCTTCCTATTGGAGCTGGTTGTCGACGGGTGGATTCACTGCTCTGCAGTGTTGAAATGCTCTAGGAAACATTACTGCTAAAATGCAGACATTGAGACTCTGTGTGACTGTTATAGGAGGATTTTTCATGCTGCTTTTCAGCTGTTAGACATTGATTTCTGACAGCACTAAAGTCTTCAGCAAAATTAGTGACGTGTTTATTCATGCTGGGTATTTTCTTGCACCAATGGTCGTGAATACCATTAAAAAAAGATGCAATTAAATTGTTTTAATTAAAACATATGGTTGATGAGTACAATTCGAAATTAGCAAGACATTAATTATGTACCAACAACTGAAAAAATGTAGAAAAAATTATTCAAATAACACAGTATGTTGAGTATTAATCTGCTTGTGCTAGAAGAGCAAAAAATTGGTGAGCTGAATTATTATCTTTGCTAGCGGGTTAATTTGCAACATATAACACTATCGTTCAAAAGTTGGGGAAAAGGTAAGACTTTTAAAATGTTTTTGAAGGAAGTCTCTTATGCTGATCAATGCTGCATTTATTTGATCTAAAATCCAGTAATACTGTGAAATATTATTGCAACTTAAAAATAAATTATTGTATATATTTCAAAATGCCATTACTTTAATCTTCAAGAAGATCCTTCAGAAATCATGTTATGCTGACTCAAGAAACATGTCTCATTATCAATGTTAAAAATAGTTGTGCTGCTTCATATTTTTGTAGCCCAGCACATGTGAAACATTACTGTGGTTTTACTTTTGACTCATGGTTCTATAGATCCTGAAAGTGACACTTTGTGGTGTGTTTAAATAGGTATTATTTATGAATCATAAACTGGAGTTACAAGCTGTCACTCGTGGCCCAAGAACCAAAGTTTCATTAACCATATTTTAACATAAAAGGAATAAATTATGAAGTCATTTAACGATGTGATGAAAGAGTATTGCATTAATATGCCGATTGTTGTCTAAAACTGGACAGCATCATTTGATTAAAACAGCTTTTAGTCTTCTCATTAAAAAGCATCATTGTCTCTGTGTATGATAGACCGGTCAGAAGAAGATCTGTCCCACTTTGTCCTTACAATTTATGTTTTAAAAAAAATAAGCCGCTTAGCAGAGTGATATTAAAATAATCTCTAAGCTCGTAATGTTAACTTAATAATGTGATGTGGCATTGAGACTGTCAGGAACTCAGTCAAATGGATGGACCACAGAGTCATGGACCGCAGAACTATTATGTTAAAAGTAGTTTCAGGCCAGGGATGGAAATTTAGTTCAAAAGCAGTCAAAAAGAGGCAAATGATTACATTTAGACTAAGAACATAAGTTCTTAAATTACAGCTTGTTTTGTCACTTTCATAGTCCTTCCACTAAAAGGACAGTATCTGTAAAACTGACTACAACTGTTGTGGGTTTTGAATGGAAAGTGTTAATGCTTTCTGTTAAGCATTGTGCTTCAAACTTCTGCTGCAGGTACTTACTGAGATAGATCAGTGAAGTTCTTCATTTAAATAGCCCAACAGCGCTGTATGTCGGGTGCGCTGCCCACAAGGCTATTGGCACCGACACAACCTTTATTTTTAATAGTGAACAGTCTTTGAACCTCATAAATGGCTGATATGAAAAAGTTTACATGTACAGACAAAAAAAAACCCTCTGCAAGGCAAACTCAACTTACAATTGACTCCAATGGAGCTAACAGCACAATTCTGCACACCATTTTTGATACTTTTTTGTTGCACTGCATTCTGGGATTGCCTTTTCCTTTCCACAAAGGCAAATGTGACTAAAACAAGTTACCTATGATGCCTTAAAATGCTGCCTCTGTAGGTAGAGCTGCTGGCTCCCAATCATCTGCGGTAGTTAGAGTAATGATGCATCTGCAGATAGTACAGCTACTTTCTGTGTTCAAAGAGCTGCATGCTTACTGTCCTTAAAGGGGTCATATGATGCGATTTCAATTTTTCCTCTCTCTTCCTTTAAGGGAACTCTGCTCTATTGGCCACACCCACAGTCTCCAGTTACTGTGTGTTTTGGTTTACTGTCAGCATCAGAGAGTTCAAGACTAATTCAAATCCTTTTCTCGTCACCGCAATTCACTGTACTTTAGGGTATGCTGGTTCAGACATTGTAAATGTTTGGCATCTTTTTATTTAAGGGTTTCTTCTGTTGGATCAGTCAGTCTCAAACATGAAACATGCTCCATATGCTCTATATTTGTTCGTTTACATGTATTAATTTCGCAAATGCTGTAATCTAATAAAAATTATTATATGTCTAAATATATGGCATGATAATCATATAGCAACAATTTAGCTCACGGCTGTAAATTTATTATGGTCTGTTATTAAACAGGGTGTTAATATGTTCAAACATTTGGGGTTGTTAAGATTTTTTTTTATTTTTGAAAGATTTCTCTTATTCTCACCAAGACTGCTTTTAGACCGTAAAAATATTTTGAAACAATTACAATGGTTTTCTATTTGAATATATTTTATAACGTATAATGTTGTTTATAATGTTTCTGTTATGGTAAAGCTAAATTTTCAGCATCATTTCTCCAGTCTTCAGTGTCACATGATCCTTCAGAAATCATAAATCTTATATGCTGATTTGGTGCTCGAGAAACTTTTCATGTTGTTATCAGTGTTGAAAACAGTTGTGCTGCTTAATAAATACTTTTTTCATGATTCTATGACAAACATAAAGTTCAAAAGAACAGCATTTATTTGAAATAGAAATCTTTACTGTCACTTTTGATCAATTAATGCATATTTGCTGAATACATTTTTTTTTTCTTATTGACCCCAAACTTTTGAATAGTAGTATGTTTTTTTAAATCAAAAATAGCTAAACTTAAAATTACAATATGGAACAAACAAGCATTTTCTGGAATGACTTCTGTTTTCCATATACACACAATGACAATTGTTTAAATGTGGCTGTCCCTCCTAAAATGTTACAGTGTGACCTTTGTGTACAAAACATAATTAAGCACCCAGAATAGGAGTGACACCCGTATTTAGCCGCAGTGTGTACATGGCCCTTATGGCTCACACATTTCCGCAACAGTTAATACACTGATTCAGTGGGAAGACAGTTGTCAGGTTGTTTGGATGAAAAACAGTGATTCACTTTTGTTGTCTGGCAATTGGTACACAGTCACAAGAGTGAGATGCTTGTGTCAACAGGTCTATTTGAGGAATTTATTAATAGAAATTTCTCTTCATAGTATAGCAAAGAAGCTGCTTTAGTTTACCGGTGGTGTTCAGAGTTGAAAAGAAAAAGCATAAACACCCTGATGTGATCTGTTATGAAACCATTGTAACAGAAGTCTTAGTACCTCTGTATTGTTTTAAGTGCATGTTACTTAGGATGATGTGTTCTCTGTTTGTTTGTTTCTTGCATGCTTTTACATAAAGAATTGTACAAATATGTTTACTTCTTCAGTGGGCGTCTTCAGATGCCTTCTTAGATACACAACATGGCTGAAATGTTACACTTACCAGTTTGCCAGCATTTCCAAAGGTGAGCCACATAACTGATCTCTCTCTCTCCTCACAGTTTTTCCAGAGGACGCAGATGCAAACGGTGCGGCCCACCATTCCAAGCAACAACCCTCCCATTCGGCCCACATCTCAGACCCCCACAGCAGCGGTCTACCCCCCCAGTCAGCCCATCATGATGACCATGGCTCCCATGCCCTTCCATTCCCCACAGACAGCGCAGTACTACATCCCTCAGGTCAGACAGCACAAGACTGCTGACAGGAATCACATTACAATTACTATATCTGGACCATGTGTTTACATCAGGATGTTTCAGTGTACTAGACTATGTTTGTTGTGTTGTTTATGTACAAATTTGATTACAGAGTTTTGTCCAGTTGATGTGTTGTTTGCAATTATATACATGTTGAATTTTCACTCATTTGCTGGTTGTGTGTGACTCTACAGTACCGTCACAGTGCTCCTCAGTATGTGGGGCCTCCTCAACAGTACCCAGTCCAGCCCACTGGACCCAGTACCTTCTATGCTGGACCCAGTCCAGGGGACTTCCCAGCACCTTATGGTGAGTTTAGCAACCTCCTTTCTGTCTTTTCGGCCACCTGTGGATTGCTGTTGACTTTCTCATGGTCTGCTGACTTGCCTTGTTTCGCTGTTTACTGTTTTAATGTTGTGCAGTAAGTCTAATTTTTTAGAATGAAACGCAATATTTTAAGATTTATCATCCTGCTGTGATGGGTAGTCTTATTCATTTGGTTTTGGTTAGCTAAGAGATTTATTTTGTTTTTTTTTTCAGTTGTGAAATGGTTTCACAATTTTGGTAGCTGACAAATTTGTAAAAAAAATATATATATATTTTACAAAAACCGCGGCATGATTGTGAGCATTTAATATACGAGGTTTAATATACTTTTTTTGTGATTTCCCTTTGATGGTTGATGATAATAGGTGACAGATTTCATTATTGAATTGCAAAATAAATTTTGGTTTTATACATTTTTAATGTGACGTTATATAATTGTTCTAAAAAGTGTTTTTAAAAAAAGTTATTATATTTTAATTTTTTTTGTACACAAAATGCATAGCATAGCCTACATTCATGCATTTATATTTGTATTCATAGCCTTTAATTTTATTGAACATTAGGCAGAACATTGAAATTATGTTTTTCAGCATATACAGAAAATACAATTAGGCTTTGTTATCCTATTAATCAATTAATTACAAATAATCAGCAAAATAATTTATTTTGGTGTGAATGAGTATAAGGAACTTGTTGTCTTGTGTGGTTTGTGAGCAGCAGGACCTCCCTACTATCCTGGGCAGCCCATCTACTCACCATCTCCATCCATTATAGTGCCTACACCACAACAACCTCCACCTGCTAAGAGGGAAAAGAAAACAGTGAGTGTCATCTTTATAGCAGTATGCAGACTGAAATAATATATATAATGCGTAATGCCTTGAGAAAATTTGTATTGAAAAATAAAATTTGTTTGTAATTATCAAGGCTTGAGAAATGCTGAACAGGAATTAGATGATGCTTCTGATGTTTTATCATTTAATTCTCTGACTCTTTATTGTCTAAGATTGTTTAAGTATTGTTGTATTGTTTAAGATCCGTATCCGAGACCCCAACCAGGGTGGCAAGGATGTGACAGAAGAGATATTATCAGGGGTGGTCGGAAGTCGGAACCCAACCCCACCGGTGGGACGGCCCTCCTCCACTCCTACACCTCCACGAGTAAGACGGCTAATCACAGAGACCAAATCAAACACAAAAACCCATATGCGCACATACAGATTTAGCTGGATATCACTCCCTTTCTAATTTCTGCATCTTGGGAATGAGCTCTTTTGACTTGAGCCAGTAAGCGACCACTCAGAACACCCTAGCAACTGCATAGCAACATGGTAAAATCCAATCTGAACACCATAGCAACCACCTTCTGACTTTGTAGCCACACTGCCAAAGTTTCCACCCCTTTATAATCAGGAATTTATCTTCTTATCTAAAGCCACAGCTTATGTCCGTGGGTCAGCACCTCTGCTTAAGAGTTTGATCTTTTACCCACAAGCCACCAATTTTATGCTATGCATTTTTAATGCAGAACTCTGAATAGTCTCGAAACTTTTACCTGTAGAAGTAAAAGTCTATTATGTTTATTTGTAGAATTTAAGAAGTTTCAATCTTGCATATTCTGTCACGCGTGTTGTAGCTCTGCTTCATGATTGTTTGTGTCATCCTGATTCCTGTGTGTTCCCTTTACAGTGACTCCTCATCTACACACTCTAGAATATCTCTCATCCTCACTGTGCCTAATCTAAAACAGGGGTTTTCAAATGGGTCTATGGGCCACAAGGAGTGCAGGGTGTCTGTGTCAAAAGTAATATAAAAATATTTTACGAAATGTATTTTAACAGGTAGAAATAAAAAAAATGCACGTAGTATTGTAAAAATAAAATCTTTTAGATCTAAAATCTAAAATATATACGTTTTATTTATTTTAAAATTTGCATCTCTTCTTTCTCGCAACATACACCATCCTTCAAAAGTTTGGAGTCAGTAAGTTTTTTTTATTATATTTTTATTTTTTAAAGAAAGTATTACTTTGATTCAGCAAGGACGCATTTAATAGATCAAAAGACTTACTAAAGACATTTACATTATTACAAAAAAAAAAAAACTTTATTCATCAAAGAATCCTGAAAAAAGAAGCATCATGGTTTCCACAAAAACATTTAGCAGTACAGCTGTTTTCAACATAGATAATAATGAAAAATGAGCACCAAATCAGCATATTAAAATGATTTATGAGGGATCATGTGACACTAATAACTGAAGTAATGGAGTAATATACATTTTAAAATGTTGAACTAGAAAACAGATATTTTAAAGTGTAGTAATATTTAACAATATTACTGTTTTACTGTATATTTGATCAAATAAATGCAGCCTTGGAGAGCATAACAGAATCTTTTTTTAAAAACATTTGAAAAAATCTTACCAACTCCAAACTTTTGAATTTGTTAATAATATATGTTATACTTTAAGAATCATTTTTATTTGTGTTGTATCTTCATAGGGATTTTTTTCTTATTATTATTACCTTTAGCTTGCTCACTACTTGATTTGTAACAATATTTATTATGCAAAGTGCTACACAAATATGAATAAAATAATTGAGAGTTTCTCTTTTATTCCAACAGTGTGTATATGAAGGATATGCTGTTATTTTTATACATTAAGTTAATAGTTATGTTAAGTAAGTAGTTTACAGATAAAACCCAGTCAAAAAGGACCCGAACACCACACGAGGGTTAAGCAAATGCCAACCTGCACAATTTGCATGTCATGCCCTTGTTTTTAAAACCATGAAAGTAAAGTTTTTGCATTTCATGTCTAATGTCAAATCTGGGTCCTGAAGCAAAGCCAGTTGAGAACCACTGATCTGTTTTTCAGCCTTTTAATGTTTTTGAGGTTATGTGAAAGGTCACATTAAAAGCACACTGTATACTGCACAAATAAAAATATGTTTTTATTTATTTATTTTGTAGATAATAAAAAGTACAATTTTCATGATTTAATAATTTTATATAGCCAACAAAATCACTGCAGATACTTTATATATTACATTATTTATTCATGCATGAATTTATTCATTGAAGCATGTATGCATTTATTTATATTTTATTGAAATAAATAATATAAAATATGATTTAATTTGTTTCAGTTTCATTTTATTAATTTATATTATATTTTATTATTTAATTACTGAGAAGAATCCCTGCAAATACACTGTCATTTAATTTTTAAATATAAATAATTAATTAATTAATTTTATCGTTTATTTATAGTGTAGTATTTAATTAACTCATACATTAAAAGTTTAAGATCAACACTTTTAGCATTTTTTGCTTAATTTTATATTGCCAACAAAGTCACTGCAGAAACATTGTATGTTATTTATGGATTGATTAATTAATATATTTATGTGGGTTTTGTGTATATTCTATTATTTCATTTTTAAATTTTTTAACAAGAGCAGCACTTTCATGATGTTGCTTACTTTATATTGGCAACAAAATCAGTGCAAATATATTGTGTATGTTATTAATTCATTTTTTTATATTTAGTGTATATTCTACTGTTTAATTTTTAATTATTTATCTATCACATAGAAAAGCCTAACATCACTTTAAAGCTATTGCTTTCTTTTATATTGCCAACAAAAACACTGCAAATACATTGTAAATGTTTAATATATCGCTTTGATATTCTTTTTGATATGATTTTTGTCGCCAAAACCATGAGCAAACTGGGAAATACATTTCTATATTCTCACAATATAATTTCTATATATATCACAATATTTTTTTTGGTTTGTTTTTATTTTATTTACCCTACTATTTGTTTACTTTATGGCTCTAGATGACAAGCCAAAACTAGAGTTTGCCTCGCAAAGATCTGCATCTCCAGGATTGCGGCAGCCAGAGACTCCACTGGAAAGAAGAGATCCTAGCAGCCCAGTCCAAGCGCCCTCTCCCCCACAGAAAACTGAGCTTCCCCCCTCCGGCCCAGAATCGGCCTCAAGTGTAGCTACAGCCCCAACTCCTTCCATACCTGCCTCAACCGTGGAGTCAGCTGACACCCCGAGCCCATCAGCTGAGCCCGGCCCCACTAAAGCTATCACACCAGAACCTGAAAGCTCTGAGCCGGAGAAATCCTACTCAGAGCAGCTCTCACCTCAGAGCTTGTCTACGTCCCTGGCCCAGCCTGAAAAGGTCATCAATGGGCTGACGGACACCGATGCTGCTCCCTTGAGTGAAGACTTGGAATCCCAACCCAGGGAAGTCTCTCCGTTGCTGCCTACTTCCAGCGTGCCCCAGTGCCCCAGCTCGGAGCCCAGGCCCATCACACCGGCGCTGGAGGCCGAGTCTGCGGCGGGAAAGGCGGATACTCCCTCGCCTCCTGCTGAGGACAGCACTGGATGTCCTGTCGCCCCATCCCTCTCCACCTCCACTACTGCTGCTATCTCCACCACACCTGCTCCTCCTCCAGGCCTCACACACCCAAGTCAGGTTTCTGCAGGATCAGCCAAGAGGCCCTCTACAGGAGCAGAGCTCAAAGAAACAGGGAAGGAGACCGAGGCCTTGCCGGACGAGAGAGGCGAGCCCTTCTTGCAGTCCAGAAAAAGCTCAAGTCAAGGTGAGCAGTTGAAGTATACATCTAAGATGAATTGCCATGAAGTGGGGGTCATTCAAATAACACACATTTTTTCTTTGTAAAGCTACATCTAGTGCACCAAAGACCTGGAAGAAGCCAAAAGAGGACATGCCTGTAGAGCAAGATCAGTGTCTAGATAAAGAGGTAAAATAATTTTGCTTATGTGCTTTTTGGGTCCATCATATTAATACATTTAGCTTTTATTATATTTATCTATTATAAATTAATGAATTATAATCAATCACAACAAACAGGTATTTTTCATTTAATTTACAATCTTTGAAGCATTTCTATTGTTTTAATTATTTTATAACTATATTATATTCATAAATGGATAATATATTTTTATTTTATATTACTTTATAATGTTAAAATATTTAATATAACATCTTTTATATTACTATATTATTATTTCAAACTAGCAAAAATTCATAATCATAACAGACCAACTTTTATTTGTATTTGTCTCTACATGCCACTCATGTGCAGTTGTAGTGTTTCAAGTATTTGAATGTGATTTGCCAAATCCAGTTGCTTATATTCAAATTAGTTTAAGATAGGCTTAAAATGTGTGTGTGTGTGTGTGTTTGGTAGGAGGACATGGATCAGCCCTCTATGGAACCTGCTGCAGAGAGCCCCAGTCCTCCTCCTGTGGAGGTGGAGAGGAGGCCGTCAGCAGGAGCTGTGCTTGAGGAGAACGGAGAACAGGAAGTAGAGCCTCTGAGAAACGGGGCTGAACACGCCTCTGAAACTGAAAACAGTGACAGCATCCACCCGCCTGCGGTCAAAGAGCCACTGATCAAAGCAGTGCCACGTAAGGCCATCTCTCTACAACATTCTCTAGTTTCCCACGTGTGTCTGCCAGGTTTTTACCACTGAAAGCCTTTCTGCTCTTCTGCAGAGCCTGCAGAGAAGAATGGAAAGAAGCAGTACGACAGAGACTTCCTGTTGGGCTTCCAGTTCATGCCTGCATGTGTGCAGAAACCAGAGGGGCTTCCTCCCATTTCTGATGTTGTTCTAGATAAGGTTAGCCAATATTACACAGACGGTTCATTGAACAGCTTTTCTACTTATACTATACTGAATAAACACATTAAATTGACAGCTCTTGTTTGAACTTTTATATCATGGTTTTCAAAGTAATGTCTATTAAAGTTAATAACTGAAAATTCCCATCGAAATTTCTCTTGTACCAGAATGAATTTGCATCGCACCATTAAATGGACTACTATGGGAATAAAGGGTTATTGTAACCTGATAATCGCCTTCTGTTAAATCCTTGTAAAACTCATTACTGCTCTTGTACAGAGCAGTAAGTTGTTTTTTAAGTGAAGCCTAATGTGTTTCTGCCTCACCGAACAGATTAACCAAAATAAGCTGCCCATGCGGCCGGTAGACCCACGAGTGATTTCCAGAGGCCCAGACTTCACGCCAGCATTTGCAGATTTTGGCAGACAGATTCCAGGAGGCAGGGGAGCACCGGTTTGTCCCAACTTATTCTCACACTCATACAAAAAAAATAATATGGGGTTTTGTCTTAATTACTACAGTAAGTCAATTATTATGCTCTCTAGATCCTTTACATTTAATTTCATTCAAATGTATTACTTCACCCACGAATGAAAGCATTTTCAATTTACATTCCCTGGAGCACGCTCTTATAAAAATGTACAGATAATTATTGTACTCGAATCTATATCCAATATTGTGCATAAGTACACATACAAAAATCATTATTTATAAAAAAATAACTACAATAAGTCATTTATAATGCTCTCTATCTTAAATGTAATTCAATTCTAATACTTCACATACGAATAAAAGCTATTTCAATTTATATGACTTTAGATACGCTCTTAGAAACACTTTTATTATTCTTGTCTGTACTACATGATTATTTCTGTTCCCTCAGCTGCTGAATGTTAGCCTGCGTCGACCACCTGGACGCAAGATCATCACAAACGTGTCGGTGAATGATGAGGTGCAGCTGAGGACAACAGAGAATGCCTGGAAACCTGGAATGAAGCGGGAAAATGCCATTGAAGAGCCAGAGACCCTGAAATCTCAGGTCTTCATTTCAGATGGCCTTATTTTGCTGTACAAAGAAAGCATGCTGTGGTATCCAGATGTTCAGCTATGATCGAATAATTTATTACATCATTACTTTCTCTAATATGGAGAGGAAATGGAGCTTGGGATTGATAGTTGCCTTGGAGGACATTCAGTAATATGTTCATTGATATTTTTACAGGAGCTTTTCCGAAAAGTGCGTAGTATTCTCAACAAATTGACGCCACAGATGTTCAGCCAGCTGATGAAGCAGGTGACTGACCTCACCATCGACACTGAGGAGCGGCTCAAGGGTGTCATAGACCTGGTTTTTGAGAAAGCCATTGATGAACCCAGCTTCTCTGTGGCCTATGGCAATATGTGCAGCTGTCTGGCCACGGTGAGTCAGACTTTCCATTAAAACTGGGGTCTGTTCAAAATGAGCAATGATACACAAGTTTAGTAGATCACTGATTAATTAAGGAAATGTTTATTTGTGATTTTGGGAGCAAATGGAGATTGGAAACTGAGTGTGTTTAGCTTGGAATGCAGCATGGTGAGTGCACGTCTAAATCAGTCACGTGCTGTGTTTGTAGTTAAAAGTGCCCATGATGGATAAGCCCAACAGCACTGTGAATTTCCGGAAGCTGCTTCTGAATCGCTGTCAGAAGGAGTTTGAGAAGGACAAGGTGGATGATGATGTCTTCGAGAAGAAACACAGGGAGCTGGAGGCAGCTAATTCAGTAAGTGCTTCAGCACCAAAAACTTCTTAAATGGATCACAGGCCATTCAGATTGCCTAGATGTAATTGCCTAGCATAACACATGCTATGAGAAGGTTGATTAGAATTTTCTGTGTGGATTTAAATGGCTTGCAAAACATTTTCAGCAGTTATATTCCATGCATTTTCTTTTATTTTTTACTAATGATACAGTAAATCTTAAAAAAAAAAACGTTTTGCTAATATTTATTGTACTTGAATCCTAACCCAATATTGTGCATAAGTACAGATGCAAAAATTAAAGGTACATGAGGCTTAACTCAATTAAATATAAAATTATTATTTAAAATTATTTGTTAATACATAATTTTTTTTATAATTATGTGCATATGAATAGTTACACAATTACTGTCAGCAACTATCATGTTACTCTCGTATTATTTTTACCATAAAAGCAGTCAATATGAGTCTTGTGCTGGTTAAGTCTTTTAAAATCATCTGATAGCTTTGTCTGATTATCTGAAAATCTAGTTGGCATGATCTATTTTCTAAATGCGTGTTATTTTTATCTTATTGTGAATGATTCTTCACAATAAGGCCGGATTTGAGGGCCGTAATATTTGACCGAAACATGATGCATGACATGCTTTGACTGTTTTAGCGATATTGCATGCATACAACATGGAAATGCTATAACAGGTAAACGTTGTGGACACACTTCATTAAAAATAATGCTCGAGTAACAATATGTAAACATTTTAGATTTTGAGAGAAACTTACTACAACTGATTTCATTAATCACCTGATGACACGACACTATAAACGGTGAACCAAGTTCAGTTACCCAAATTGAATTACCAAAACCTTATTTCCGGTTTCAGTTTAAGGTAATGAAAACTTTAATTTTGGTTTTAGTGTTTCAGTGCATCACTGCTTCTCTGGTGACGTATGCCAGATTTCTCCAATCATTTAGTCTGCTTAAACCCCACTCTTTTCTGACCGTTCAACTGCTAGCATGCATTTAGATCTCCTTTCATCCAGTCAGCAACCGATGAATTGAACCAAGTCTTCCCCCTACACTTTTTGCTTTTTCAATAATCTGTTTCACTCTGATGTACTGTACATCTCAATACATCTGTCTCTTCCGTTAATCACAACTACATATGAAACAAATTCCGAATTACAGTATTGAATGTAAAATTGTACCAAATTTATCAAATAAACTGAAAGCTCATTTAATGTTGAAAGTTACTATAAGGGCTTCTGAAAATAATCTCCTGTTGTAGTCTGGATGCCGATTTTACTGCAGCGGGCACACAGTGATCATTTCTGACACGTCTTCCTCTCTCTCATTCGTACTCTCAGGCTAGCGAGCGGGAGAGGCTGCAGGAGGAACTGAACGAAGCGAAAGATAAGGCCCGCAGACGTTCCATCGGCAATATAAAGTTCATCGGCGAGCTCTTCAAGCTGCGGATGCTGACAGAGGCCATCATGCACGACTGTGTGGTGAAGTTGCTGAAAAACCACGATGAAGAGTCATTGGAGTGCTTGTGCAGGCTGCTCACAACTATTGGCAAGGACCTGGACTTTGAGAAAGCTAAGGTAGTTTATCCTAATCGGGAGGATGTCCTCTATAATGGGCTTTAAGAATAACTGTCCTCCTAATTCTGATAATTGCTGCTGCAGTCCATATAAATGCACAAAGACTGTTGCCTATTTCAATGCAAATATGCAAAGAAATCTATGTGTTGGCCACTCTTTGCACTGCAGTGGTGGAGCTCTGCATAAACTAGTATTCTTTGGCCTCTTGCATCCAAAACGCCTGGTTTATGTCCTCTCTGCTCCTGCCATGTGCTGTTTGGAAACGAATCCCGAATGAGTAATTTTACTGTGCTCTGGTTCCAAAATTCACTTTGGATTCAGCTGAGAACATGACTGTGAGGGTGGTGCCTAATGCACTTGAATGGATAGTTCATCCAAAAATGTGAATTCTGTCATTATTTACTCACCTTCATGTCATTAGTTGAACTTATTTTTTGTACTTTAATTAAAGACAAATGTCAGGCAAAAAAAATGTATTGTATTTGGTGGTCTATTGATGTTTTCAGGTCTCTTTTGAAGCTTGTGAATCTTACAGATGGTTCTTCTTGTTCCTGTTTAGCCACGGATGGATCAGTACTTTAACCAGATGGAGAAGATAGTAAAGGAGAAAAAGACTTCTTCACGCATTCGGTTCATGCTGCAGGACGTTACTGACCTGCGATTGGTGAGTTTTGTGTTATTTGTTTGTTTTCAAGCGGTGATCAAGGCAACGTTTTCAGCTCCAAAAGTACAACGTTTGATTTGAAAAAAAAAAAGTGTGTGATTAAGATTTATTTGTATGATTATTAATTAATTAACTACTTCTCAAAAAGCTTAACAAACTCAGACAAATATGTTTAGTTTGTCAAGTTCATCTGCGATAAATGCTTATATGTATTCACAATTGTTCAAAAGTTTGAGGTCAGTAAGATTTGTATGTTTTTGAATGAGGTCTCTTATGCTCAACAAGGCTACATTCATTTGATAAAAAAATATAGTAAAAACAGTAATGTTGTGAAATATCGTTACAGTTTTACAGTTTAATTGTTTTCTATTTTAATTTATTTTAAAATGTAATTTATTCCTGTGATGCAAAGCTGAATTTTCAGCAGTCATTACTCCAGTCTTCAGTGTCACATGATCCTTCAGAAATCATTCTAATATGCTGATTTGGTGCTCAAGAAACATTTCTTAGTATTATCATCAATGTTGAAAACAGTTCTGCTTAATATTTTGTGGAAATCTTTATACGTGTTTTCAGAATTCTTTGAATGGAATGTTCAAAAGAACAGCATTTATTTGAAATAGAAATCTTTGTGTGTGTGTGTGTGTGTGTGTGTGTGTGTGTGTGTTGTGTGACCATACTGTCACTTTTGCGGAATAAAATACATTTCTTTCAAAACCGAAAAAAAAAAATTAGGATGGTAAATAGGACATAGGCAAAGTTTCAGAAAAGAAGCAAACATTTATTTTGTACACTATTTACTTAAAATACAAACAAATTGAAATAATTGTTTAGTTATTGACTAATTTGTAGGTAGGGATGTGATCCTTCTGTTAACCGGCCAAGTAGACAATGTAATGTCAAAATATTGGTTTAAACCTATTTTTTTTTATAATTCAGGATTGTTAATAATATTTTTGAACCCTATTGTTGTATAGTGTGAGGATGTTTTATATATATATATATATATATTATTTGGCAGTCATGCTGGAATTTTCAGGTCATATTTTGTGTTCTTTCCTCATCTCAGCACAATTGGGTGTCTCGGAGAGCTGACCTGGGCCCCAAGACCATTGAGCAGATCCATAAAGAGGCAAAGTTGGAGGAGCAGGAGGAAAAGAGGAAGGTCCACCAGCAACTCTTGTCCAAGGACAACAAGAGGAGACCAGGTCAGAAAGAGACTTCTGCTATAGGCTAATCCTCTTTACAGCTTGCTCAGTCCTGTGGACCTCCTTTCCTTTTTTCACTCTCTGATGAAGTAGCTGTACTTTCTCTTCATGTTGCAGTGGTGCAGAGAGAGGAGACCTGGAGCACTGTGCCTATGACTAAGAACAGCAGAACAATAGACCCCGCTAAGATTCTCAAGATCTCAAAGGTAAAGTCCAGAAGTCAAACTAAGAACACATTTTCTTTCTAGTCACGTCTTAAGATGGCTGGCATAACTGAGTTTTAGAAAAAGAGATTCTATATATGCAATTCTGCATTTTTTCATACTCGCCCCATGATCTGTTTGGACGTAAGGAAGCTGCATTTTTATGTAAACAATTGATCTTATCAGCTGAATCACACTTATGGAGGTTGTGCAAACTACACCTTGCTACATGTCATCGATTGTGCTTTGTAGTGTGCTGCTTTAAAGCATGTTGACTTAAAGCATTTCACCTAAAAATATATATTTATACAAAAATATTATTACATACTTTGAAATTTAATATAAAAAAAATAATGAATTTGTGACAAATTTTCCAGTTCAAAAAAATGTTTTTTTTCTTCTGCATCTGAATGTGCTAAACAGTATATTTTCATATGTTTTGAAGGACTATTCTACTAATTGGTCTTAATTGGAGGCCCTGTATAACTGGGCTTGATGTTACCATGCAAACTGTCTGACAGCTGAAGCACAGCATAAGCACACTTAAAACTACCGAAAAACACATTCAAACTAAAACAAAAAAATATCTGGATGAATTCTCTAGCCCTATTTGCAAATCTCTTGCTGTAAGCATAAATATAACAATATTTAGTGAGGCTTAATGGTGTTAAAATATTTTTTAACAGGAAATAAGTAAAAAAATATTAAGATTTTTTTTTTTTTTTTTCAGTGTTTGTAAATATGCTAATTAACTGTTTGACTCAACAGCCCCACCCGATAGTTCTTCTGTTTGCTTGTGTAGTAGCATCTTAGTATCTCATTGACTCTTGATTGTGAATCTAGGGATCTGCAGTGCTGCCCATTTTGTACCTTTTATTACAGACCAAGTTCATGAAGCTGCTGATTTAAATCAAGTGTGGTAAATAGGAGACATGCAAAGTGTGCAGTGCTGCAGGTCCCCAGGACCAGGATTAAGAACTACTGATCTGATATGAATGCATGAGAAAATGTAATATGATCTTACTGTTTTCTTCAGCCAACAATAGATGAGAAGATTCAGCTGGGACCAAGAGCTCAGGTGAACTGGATGAAGGGCAGCAGTGGAGGGGCTGGAGCCAAGGCCAGTGAGTCAGGTAAAGTAAGACTGATGCAGTCAGGCATGGGCTACTGGCTCTGTCAATTCCAGCTGTTTTATAGTTTATGCAGGATTTTCTGGCTCTATACTTCGTTTACTAATGTGAAATTTCCTCCTTTTTTTCCTGTCCTGCACCCTTTTTCTTTTAGATGTCTCTCGTCCCAGTGCCAGTTTGAACCGTTACTCACCCCTGCAACCCTCAGCGCCCCTGGCCTCCTCTTTACCCTCTACATCCCCAGATTTTGATGCCAGGAGAGTTCTCAGCAGGTACTGTACATATATAAAATATAGTCATTGAGAAAGGGAAGATACCTTTTCATTCTTACATTTTCGTCTGTAGTGTTTATCAATATTTTATATATGTAAATACATCTCAGATGTGCTTCTGTTCATTTTTCAAATTATAAGTATTTATACTTTATTATAATTATACTTTTACTTTATAATTATTTAATTATATAATACATTGTAATTATAGAATTATTATAGAATTAATTAAATAATAATAGATTTTTAAAATTGTTATTTTCAGCCAATTTAAATGTAATTATACTTTGCATTTATATTTTAGAATTCATATAATTCAAATGATAATTATATTCATATGCTTATCTAATTATATAGTGCATTGAAATTAACAGGTAAGAAATTAAATAATAATAAGCAAACTATTTATTTTTTATAATTAACATTTTGTTATTATTGTTTCATTTGTAATGAATTGAAGGAAACACTTTTACATCTGGAAATTCAGGAATGTCTGTATTTGTGTGTTTGTGAAATTTCTCAGTCGAGGAAGCTCAGGACGAGAACGTAATGACAAGCCATTGAGTGCGGGTCCCGCTCGGACAGGACCCATCTCATTGGGTAGCAGCAATAAGGAGGCTCCTGAGGAGTCGGTCCAGGAAGTGTCCCGTAGAGACTCGAATGCCTCAGACACGCCCAAGCTGCCCGCCAGCACTGCAGACAAAAGCAGACTGGAGCGTAGCCAATCCAGGGAGTCTGGTGAGCCACACGGATACCCTCGCACACATTATAATGCTGCTGGTTACATTATGGTGAAATACATAAGAAGAAAATCCGACATTTAAGGCTGTCTCTCATTGCAGCTGTTAAACTTGAAGTACTGTCAGGACCCTCTCCAGACAAGCCTACATTAACAGAAGAGGACATGGAAAGGCGGTCCAAGTCCATTATCGATGAGTTTTTGCACATTAATGATTACAAGGTTTGTACACTTTTTTTTTAAATCACCAAAATTGCTATTTTATGCACTACATAACTTATAAAGCTGTATCTCCTAGTCCAGAATAGCAGTAGAGGAATTTCTAAGCGTAGTATACTTGTGCTGCAGGAGGCAGTGCAGTGTGTGGAGGAACTAGAGCAACCTGCCATGCTCTATGTGTTTGTGCGGGTGGGTGTGGAGTCCACGCTGGAGAGGAGTCAGATCACACGAGACCATATGGGTCAGCTGCTCTACCAGCTCCTGCAGGCTGGAATCTTCCACAAACTTCAGTTCTTTAAAGGGTGAGATTGCAGAAAGTTAACAGATTCTTATCATCTCTGCATTAGTAATGTTATGTGTGCTTTTGTGTTGCAAAATGTAGTAAGCAGCCTCGCTGTCCATTATCTACTAAGGTAGCATGAAAGAAGTAGGGATAGACGATACCAACCTTTTTTATTTCGATATAATAATGATACTAATACTTTTTGTTACGATTTTAACAATACTGATACTGATTGTTTCTTAAATGGGTATGTGATTTTATTTATTATTATTTTTTTAAATAATGTTTCAAAATAATATAATCTTACTAAATCAACTCCAAAAAAAACAAAAAAGTTGCACTCGATTCTGGGATTTTTAATATATTTGTTTCTTCCCCCAGGTTCTCTGAAACTCTTGAATTAGCAGATGATATGGCCATTGATATTCCCCATATATGGCTGTACCTTGCGGAGCTGGTGACCCCTGTGCTTCGAGAGGGGGGAATCTCTATGAGAGAATTATTTAGGTAAGGTTTTATCCAGCAAGCACTTACCACAGTGTTATTAGATTCATAGAACTCATCAGCTTTAGTAATTGCCTTTACACAAGTTTTATTTGCTTATTTTGTGTCTGCAGTGAATTTAGCAAACCATTACTCCCTGTGGGAAGAGCTGGGATATTATTTTCTGAAATATTGCACCTTCTATGCAAACAAATGGTAAGCTTAAAACATTGGAATCAAACATTTTGTTTGTATTTGCCATATTTGTAAGGTTTGTTAGTGTGAGAATAGTGGAAATGAATGCATTGTGTGTTTGCAGAGCCATAGGAAAGTAGGATCATTATGGAGGGACTCTGGGTTGAGCTGGGCAGATTTTATACCTGAAACGGAGGATGTGCACAGCTTCATCACAGAACATGTGAGCCTTGATTTACATTCTCTAAGACATCTAATATATGCTAACCATCAAAACATTCACCTATTACTCCGCTGTCCCATGCTGAACGAGTTTCATTTATGATTTGACCTTTCTACAGAAACTGGACTTCACACTTTCTGACGGCTCAAACCCGACCGAGGCTGTCTCTAAGAGAACACTCTCGCCTGAGGAACTGAACAAGCAACTTGAAAAACTACTACTTGAGGACATGGCTGGTGATGAACGAATCTTTGACTGGGTTGAGGTAGATTTACGTCCAGCTCTTTAGACTCGTTTTATTAAAGGATGTGAATGATCTTATCATTGATGTGTGATGTATTACAGGCCAATCTAGATGAATCAGAAATGAGTTCACCTCCTTTCCTCAGAGCTTTAATGACTGCTGTGTGCAAGGCAGCAGTGAAAAGTAAGTGACTGTGATTTTTTATTTTTTTTTACACAGCAACAACAAAGCTGTTTCGGGTAGTGGAGTGTAACTTTCTAGATACAGTTATGCAAATTTTAGCTATTTAGTTTGCTGTTGCACAGGAACACGGCATCTTGTGTTTGCCTTTTATGTGGTACAGTTTCAAATGTCAGATTGTCAAATACTCCAATCTTGTGTCTTCTGTCTGCAGCCGAGGGCTCCTCATACAAAGTGGACTTGTCCATAATCAAGAGGAGATTGCCTGTATTACACAAGTACCTTAACTCAGACACAGAGAGACAGTTGCAAGCACTTTATGCACTTCAAGCATTGATAGTAAAACTGGACCAGCCTGCTAGTGAGTAAAACCTTTCACATTCCCATTAAAACTCACACCACATGGAATATTTGTGTTATTAACACTATTCTACAGTGGATGGTATTTTTTAATGTTGATATTTTGAGTAATCACCAAGAGATTAAAATAGTTTTATTTTATTAATATTTTGCAGATTTGCTCCGGATGTTCTTTGACTGTTTGTATGATGAGGATGTGATATCTGAAGACGCTTTCTATAAGTGGGAGGTCAGTAAAGACCCCGCTGAACAGCAAGGCAAAGGTGTGGCCCTGAAGTCAGTCACCGCTTTCTTCACGTGGCTGCGCGAGGCAGAGGAGGAGTCCGAGGACAATTGACGAGAGGACAAACGGACACATTTGCCAACTAGTCGCTGAAACAATAACTGCATCAAATTAAAATGAAACATAACAAGCAACACATTATGCATCAGGATGGCTGGAGTGCAGCAAGATTGGAATGGTACGGTTCACTGACATGCAGCAACCCTATGACAACTTGCAATTGCTGGAGCACTAAAACATTTATTATTTATAAGTTTTTTTTTTGTTTTTTTTTTACTTTTTAAGAGGACTTTAATAATACAAACATGCAACAATGAAACAAAACATACGTTCAGACTCGTTAATTTATTTTTTTAAGAACAGCATACACAAAAGGGTATTTAACGAGCGGTTATTGGTGGATAGAGAAATAATGATCATCTTATCATTAATATAATGACAGTAACAATAATTAAACAACTTCCGTGATTTTCAAATTGTTGGGAAAAGTTTGTTGGTTGAGCACAGAGAAGACCTGGTCTGCGTTTAGTACATCAGTACTGAAGTGTTTAGTACGTTTACGGTTATTATCTCAATAACCATACCAAATGTTCCTCTGCTTTAGCTTGCTCTTTGTGAAACATTTCATCTGGCAGAAACTTGCAGGAACTATGCATTCAGGGGACTGCTGGGATCACATGACGAGAGCTCAGAATGGATGTCAATGAGCAGATGGTGACGTGTACAAAAGCACTAAGGAGATGTTGCTGAACCTAAAGTGCTTGTTATTCTTCATACTGATAGAGCAAATTTAAAGCTTGTAAATACATGAAAGACAAAAAAGATTCATAAAAGTGCAAAACGTGGTGATGGTGTGCATTTTCTACAGTGTTGTCAGTGAGGGCCTTGCTGGTTTTGTGTTACAGCAGTCAAATGAATATTATTCAGTCAACAAATACACTAATGTTCAAAAGTTTGGGGTCGGTAAGATTTTTTTAAATGTTTTTGAAAGAAGTCTCTTATTCTCACTAAGGCTGCATTTATTTGATCATACATAGAGTAACATAATATTGTGATACAAATTATTGTAATAGTTGTATTGTGTTAATTCGTTTTAAAATGTGATTTATTCCTGTGATGGCAAAGCTGAATTTTCAGCAGCCATTACTCCAGTGTTCAGTGTCACATGATCCTTCAGAAATCATTCTAATATGCTCATTTGCTGCTCCAGAAACATTTTTTTACTATTATCAGTTGAAAATGGTTGTGCTGCTCAGTGTTTTAGCAGAAACCGTAATACTTTTTTCAGGGTTCTTTGATTAACAGACGCATCAAAATAACTTTTGCTTAATGCATCCTTGCTGAATATAAGTACTTCTTTTAATACGAAAAAAAATGAACGGTAGTGTATATGTAAGTAAATAATTGCAAAAAAGGCTTTACAATAAGATTTAATTTGTTAACATTAGTTAATGCACTATAGGAATTATAAACTAAAACACTTTACAGCATTTATTAGTCTAGGTTAGTTCATTTATTAATGTACTATTGTTCATTAATTCATGTTTAATGTATTATGATCAATGTTAATTCATACCACCTTAAATGTCAAGGTTGTGTTGTTCATTGTTCATGATAACTAATGCATTGAATTAATGCACATGACAACTACATGGCAGCGGACATCTAAGGTGCTTTAAATGATTCCAGCTGATTCAACATGTAAAAGGCAAAGAATTTTGTGTTTATTTAGGACAAAGTTGTTACAGAGATAGGTCTATTTTTCAAGAAACCTATTTCAATAAATACTGTTAGGTAGTTTGGACATTTTATGATTGATATCCCACAGCATCTTTAAAAGGTGCGTTTATGAGTTTGGTCGGACAACATCCTGATTGGTGATACCCTGGGGGCATCGTTTTGTTGGACAGGTAAGGGGATTCATTTTTGTGTAAACTGCTCTCTAAAACTAGCATCAGTGTAATTTACATAAAACAATAGGTTACTGTTCGTAACCCCGGTTCTCTGAAACATCAAGTGGAGTCAGGGATCCTGAGACCCGCTATTCTCAGCAGGGCCAGGCCCGCCTCCATACACAGACAAAATTCCTTTGGTTTAAAACGAGGCCAAAGGGGAGGACTGAATTCGCAGCACACACCTTGGTAGGTGACGCAAAGGAATTTCCTGTGTGGAGGATAAATGCTTATGTGGAAGAAAGCATCTCTCAGATCGATCGATGTGAACCAATCGTTCTGATTTATTGAATGTAAAAGAGAACCATGTTAACATTCTGAAATTCTATTTCCTCAAATGTTTGTTCAACACTCTGAGATCCAGAATAGGATGGAGAGAATGGTCCTTCTTTGGAACTAGGAAATAACGAGAGTAAAACCCCTGACTGCTTAAATGCGGGGGTACTACTCGAACCAAAGGAGATTTCGTCTTTCAGAATGTAAGTGGAGCTCTCTTCCTTACGAGAAGAGATAACTCCATTGAAACAAGGGGGTCTTTTGGCAAACTGTCTGTTGAAGTCTGTACCCCTTCATTATTGTGTGAATCACCCATTCGGGAGCTGACACAGACAGCCAGGCTGTTACATGATTCGCTAGAGCAGTGTTTCCCAACCTTTTTTTAGTCGCGGCACCCTTTGGAAATTTTAACAAACTTGTGGCACCCTACAAAGAACCATGTTAACATTCTGAAATTCTATTTCCTCAAATGTTTGTTCAACACTCTGAGATCCAGAATAGGATGGAGAGAATGGTCCTTCTTTGGAACTAGGAAATAACGAGAGTAAAACCCCTGACTGCTTAAATGCGGGGGTACTACTCGAACCAAAGGAGATTTCGTCTTTCAGAATGTGTGGAGCTCTCTTCCTTACGAGAAGAGATAACTCCATTGAAACAAGGGGGTCTTTTGGCAAACTGTCTGTTGAAGTCTGTACCCCTTCATTATTGTGTGAATCACCCATTCGGGAGCTGACACAGACAGCCAGGCTGTTACATGATTCACGACCCCACACAAACCGGAGAACTGCTTAAAGCTGCTAATTCGGCCGGTTTGCTCATTTGTGGTACAATTTTTTGTGTTTTGGGCAACACTTGGGCCGAAGCCTTTATTGAACTTGAGAGAGATGAGCGAGGGGAGCTGTGTGGTGACACTGCTTGTGCACTTTTTCTCACTATGTTCCCCTCTGGAATGGGGAAACTCACACTGGGCAACATGGGGAACAGTGAAGCCTGTGCCAACTCTGAATGGGTACCCACTGGCAGGGGGGGCTGACCCCATCAACAGATAACCTCCGTTTTTTGAACGTGGGAATAAGAGGGGCAGAACTGGTGTCCAGAGGGCTGGCCGCCCGTGAACTTGAACTCAAAGCCCACTGTGGCCGTTCATCAGGTCGGCTGCTTGCGTTTCGAGTCAGATGGAGTGGTTGTTTTTTTTTACCACGATAGCGGCGAAGGACATTTTCCCCCAGGGTTTAGCAGGTGGGGGCTCACTCTGCCTCACCGGTGGCTTACAACATTAGTGCGACTGCAGGACTGAAGAGAGCCTGGCGAAGCTCAACCAGTGCTCCGGTGATGCGCCGCTTCTTGCTGTCAGGGAGACCGGAATGATTAAGCCACATTGCGTGCTCTCCGACCACCGAGAGAGCCATTGAGTGCCCGCACGCCTGGATAGCCTAAGGGGCATTACGTAGAATGCTGTCATTCACTGTGACTATCTCCTTCCAGAGATCGGGTGATAGCGCCCCTTTATCCAGTTGTTGTCCCATGTCGACCAAGAGTTTGGCCTGGTAAGCGGATAGCAGGAAGGAGACATTACGGTCTCTTACCACCAAAGTCGAGGCTTTATAAGAGGCCTGATGAATGCACGTAGAGAAACGATCCATCCTGCTGGTAGAACAGGCTTGGGTGGGGCTAGCAGCCTGCCTTGAGAGAGGTTAAGGTGCCTGGTTATAGAGGGCTCGATGATGGGAGGGGGTCACCCATATTGAGATTTGCCATTTCCTTAACCACAAGACCTACAAGACCGTATTTGAGATCGAGCGGATCTCCCCAGTAGTGCTTCATATGTTTAGGACATGCCGGGAGGATGGGAAGAAGTTTTCCATCATACACGTCCCTTTCTTGGTCCAATGCCTTCTGAAGCGCTGGACATTCAATATTGAAGTGAGCAGCCGCTCGCTCACAAAACTCGAGTAGGACCGATTGGGACAGGGCAGCAGGAGCATTAGCCTGATAAGCTACGGACGACGGGATGGCCTCCTTGTCACCCGAGTCATCGAGAAGGCCTGCCTTGTCCTCGTCCCCGGAGCTGGGTGGCCCGTCGGTGAAATGGGAATCAGCCAACAAAATATCCTCAAAGGGGGACGGGTTGCATTGATTGGCCCAGCTCAGAGAGGCAGCACCACGGGAGGCCCCCGGGACCGCACCGGTGTCACCTTTTCCCCCGTCTGAGTCAGACAATCCCAAGTTGACGCTCTGAGTAGCGGCCACCTTGAGCATCCGACGCAGGAGCTTCTTAGTGAGCACCAAGCAATGGTTACAGTTCTCCAGGAAATTGATGGCTTCTTGAACGTGTTTAAGACCCATGCAAACAATGCAAAAGGGATGTGGATCCCTAGCGGCGATGAGGGCACCGCACGCAGCTGGGCAGGCTTGCGACTGGTTGTCCACAGGTGCAGCCAGATTCGATTTCAAAAGAGCCATGAGTAGCAGACAGTAGATGGAGTGAGGAAAAGGAGAGGTAAGAGGCGGGCAGCCTAGTAACAAGTGCGAGCATGGACAGCTTGCAGAATAAAACAGCTGACCTGGTAAAAACGACAAACCCGTCTGGCGGAGCCTGATCCAAAGATGTGTCCTCCTGTAGACAATAGTGAAGTCATACCAACAAGCTGTGAGTAAAATTTCCAGAGGTCACGAGAAGCGAATGTCAACTGAGGAAAGGTAGTGTGTGCAGGAGCTTTATGCGCTCGGTTAATGGGCAGTCCCACACCTGCCATTGGGCACGTGCTCCTGTCTGTCAAGCCAGACTTGGTGCAATTGGAAGCTTCTGCAGAGGTCAGGCATGGATGCCCTTCCCATAGGTGGTTCTCGAACACGAGATGATGAAAGAGAACTATAATATTGACCAACATCGTTAGGTGGCAGTGCAGTGTCTATGGTGCGTTCAAGTCATGTCAGAAAGATCATATTTACGAGTTGAACACACATGAAAACCACCACAATGTCGAATTGGAAAATGTTCCCAAGTTGTGAGCTTGCCAATTTGTTGAAATGAACAATCTGATGAAAATGTACAAATACAAAAAAATACATATATTCATTTTACAAAAAAACTTATAAATTGAATAAAACGATAAAAAAAAAATTCAACCAAATGACTTGAATGCACCTGCGATGTAATCATGAATTCCCAACTCGTAAATACGAACTTCCCAAGAGGACTTAAACGCACAATAACACAGTTGATATCAGCACTTAAATTACACGTAGAACAGCGATGCTAACGTGGCTAGTTACAGAACTACTGAATGCAGTTAGGAAAACATCCAATAATCAGTTTTAACCGCTTAACAGTACAGAGTTAGAAATAAAATCATATTCATCCACTTGCTCTATGATACGAGGATCTGTTTTGACTCATTGGGAAAAACAATCATCTGACAACTTCAATGTTTTCTGAGTTTTATTTTCAAATATAAAACAGAATCAGAGACTTGCTTTCAATAAATACAGAAATTTGATCAAATGATGAATGTAAAATGAGTGCACACATTAATGGTTGGGATAACAGTGATTTATAAAAAATGATCCCAGTTCATTATATCATACCAAGATGGGTTTTGAACTTAAATGTAGTGATATTACTGGCAGTCCTTGAACTTGAATGCTGGGAAATGGGTTTTGGAAATGCTGCTTTCACTTGAACTAAAAACATGAACGTTTGTGTAATCTTTGGGCTATTTAGAAAATATTAGGCACGTCTTCAAAGTTCAAAGAGAGTCAAAGTTTTATTTCCCGTTATCCCCATGTCAAAAATGCCACATTTGACTACAAAATCTGATGTAATAATTGCATGTGAATTGAGGAACATCCTGTGAGATGAAGAATCCTGAGCAGTTTACTACCTACAAATGATGGCACACTGCAAGGCTAAAGGTACAACATTTTCCTTAGCTAACCAAACATCACATGTTGCTGTGACAATGAGAACCAGAACTACGACAGATAAATCACAAAGTCCAGTTTAAAACAGTAAAGAAACTGTAAACCTGTTTCCATGCTACCTTATGTTGAACATTTGTTTGCACAAATGGTAAAGTACTTGTGCTTGTCTTCCTGACATGATGGATTGTCGCCCCCTCCCAGGCCTGGCACAGCTGAATACATGAGAAATTCTTAATCAAGTCACATCATCATGCTTTAGGGATGAAACCATTTGACTGTGATGAGAACTATACACAAGTTTGTGGTTTTGAGGAGCAGCAATCCCCAGGACCCACAATGGGATGAGGAAACCAGTGCAGAGATGTTAAGGTGTCCTTTCCAAGCTAGATAAGGCTGTGGGAAAGGCTACGAGTCCTTAAGCATACTGATGCGGGCAAAGATTTTCAGTGCTGGGCCCAGTTTGATGTTCATGGTGCTCATGAGATGATCCTCTTTGAGGAGCATCAAGGCCTGGCCGTCGATCTCCTGAGAGCGAAACTCTTCGGCGATCTCCTGGCAGCCTGGTGCAAAAGAGAGATTTTTAGTGACTTTTAAATCATTTGTTACCCAAAAAAGCATAGGAACATTATGGTAGCTACCTGGCAGAGACCAGATAAATTCATAGACGTCCTCGACATTCCACTTGGTCGGGTCGCTGGCCAGGAAGTGCTGCGTCAGGAGAGGGAGCGCTCTACTGTGATCGAACCTTTCCTCGTTCTGAAGCCTTTGGGCTCCAAAGCTGGAGTTGGACAGTGGCGAAATGGGCTCTTCGAAGCTGGACATGTCTGAGCACTGGCTGGACTCACCGTGACTTGGATGAGAGGGGGGTGGGGATAACAAAGATGCTCCCATGGTTGTTTGAGCGCTTGGATTCTATGAGAGAACACAAGTGAGACAAGTAAGCACATTTCTGCATAGACAAACCCAATGGGACACTGCAATGAGACAGGAAGAAACAGCGATTACCCGTTTCCTGACATCCATGCTGCTGTTATGATGATAGGCGTTGGAGGCTTTCTGTTTCTTTGGGTTCTCCGTGGTTGATTTTCTTGGGAAAAGTCCCATTCGCTTTGTGCACCCAACATTATACCTAGTAGAGAAGAAAAAACAAGTCAAACAACCATCCAAGCATGTGTTGATACAAAAACTTATATAAACCTATATGCTACAGAAGAACCCACATACCTCTTTGCACACACCGTAGAACAAAACCTCTTGGATCTCTTGAAGTTATATGCAAAGTCTACATTCCCACAGAATTCACATGACAGCATTGGCTCAGCATTCTGATTATTCAGCTCTATGAAAGAATTTACATGGCTGATTGGACCACATTAGCAAAAGTCTAGCAACAGTCAAAGCATCAGTAATCCATCAAGTGTGTAACTAAAGGCTGGAATACATTACACAACACTACACAATCTGAACAGATTTGAAAACACTAGGCATCATATATTTGGTGACTTTGTAAATGGTTACAAAGAAAGTAGGCATCAGACTACACTATCAGACTTTCAAGTCAATCCGAACACAAACTCACACTGAAATATTGGATTGCTGTTTGTAGACACATGACAGATGAAAATAATAGGTGTTGAAAATAAACATGTCTTATCATCTGACTGAATAGAATTATGAGTCTGTGCCCATCATACACAACGTAATTTTCTATGAAACCTGTCAACTCATCGGCAGACTAGTTCTAACTCTGGGCAACTACCTGCATCTCGTCCAAACTGTAAATCATGGCAAAAGTCTTGTGGTGTAGCTCAGCCTTAAAGTGACCTTTACCTTGCGGTGAAAGATCGTCCATCTCAGAGTCTGTGTTTTGAAAGGTCTGAGACTGCTTCTCTAGGTCTGAATAAGCCTGATGCTGCTTCTGCTTCTTTAAATTCTCAATCAACAAGGATGGACGTTCAACCTGGATAGATCCACAAGGTGTTGCATAAAAACATTATTCATTACACATGGCATATACTGCATGCTCACGGCTTTTGAAACTTCTACCAAAGTCTGCAGATTTAAGTAATGGCTGTGGTATATTATGCCTCTTTTAATAAACAAGGACTTAAAATGAATTTATTTTAAAGCAATAGTTTACCCAAAACTCATGTGACTTTTTTCTGTGAAAGACAGAATATTTTTATTTATTTTTTTATATTATTGTATGAGGACTAGGGCTGTCAAGCTCCAAAATGACAGAAAAAGTGATAATTAATTAGGTCCATAAAACACTACATATATAATTATGTCCATAAAACACTACATTCCAACTATTTTTGCAGTATTATTTGACAAAGCTGCTTTTATTGAAGCTTGACAACTTAAGTCCTCGATTCATTGTAATTAAATGCAAAAGGAACTACCAGCACATTATTCAAAACTTTTCCTCGTATTCCAAAGAAAGTCAAAATGTTACTAGCAAGCGGAGTGACTTAAGTTGGATACCTACAAGTTTACCATGGATTTAAGTTACTATTGTAACACACTGCAGGAACTATATTATTTAGGCTTTTGCTACTTCATTACAAACAGAGCAGCTGTAGTTGTTTCTAACACAAATAAGTTAGTTTTACAAGTGACATTTATCTAAGCATAACAATGAAAAGCATCTCTTTAATAAATATAGTTAAAACACTATAGTTTTATTAAATACAAACTATGATAAATTATTCTGCTGAAACAGAAAACAGCAAACGTAAACACTCAGACGGGATGGACTGAAATAAACAGCACTCACGGGAAAAGGCTCAGCTCCCTCCTGAATCACGAATCCCTCGATGACATGCGTGAGGATCTGGGGCTTCACTACCGCCTGTGGCGGCGGTTTACTCTCGCCATTTTGCGGAGCGCTGCCGGTCACCGTGGGCGCATTGTTGCCACTGCCCGAGGTCATGGCTGGAGGTGAGCCCACACCTGCCTTCACATTCAATCTGCCTGCTGAACACGAGCACAACAGCATCCATCAGAAACACCATAATACGGACGGCAAGTCCGACTCGTTTAATCGAATCGGTTCTTTAGAACAGCTCGTTTCAAATATCCGATTCAGTGATCATTTTACGTAATTGCGTCATCGTGTGCCCCGTGACATCTCGCCGTGGCATTTTAACAGTTCCAAAAGCCGTATCGCTGTTTAGTTGACTACGTTCTTTTAGGTTTCAATAATAATGGTGTTTATAGTGATTTCGGGTCTCATTCCAGTTTGTTGTTGCGATGATTTAATCATTTCGAAACTAAATATGATAAACAATGGTGAAATGAATTTACATTTCTTTGCCGAATACATTTATGTACGTTTTTATTAAAATTCTGTTTATTAAAACTAACCCAATTTCGCGTGTGTTCATAAAACTGTCATACAATCGCGTAAGAAACATTTTCAGTGTGCTCTATCTTATCAGAGAACCGCACCGAACGCTTCAATACTGTTCGTGCTCACAAAAGGTTCAGAACGGTTTTATGAACCGGTTCTACAGATTCATCGAAAAGACCCGACTCAAAAGAACGACCCAAATCCATGACACTCTTATAGGTCACCAAGTGTTTTTATAAAAGCGTTAACGCACACTGTAATATGTATATTCATGATACATTTATAAACTACTCTGAATTATTTGCTCACATGCAGTTGTGAATAAAACACATTCACGCCACCTGAAACCACTTGCTTATTTCACCAGCTTTTTCATCTGATCTGTAACGTCTGCACACAGCAAACTGATTTATGAAGAGCTATGCGACTATTATTGTATACCATCTAAAAAGGCCTAGATAAAAAAAACAGAAGTTTCTCAGCACTACCCGTTTTGAAAAACTGCCAGATTTTACGATTGTACTGTAACGTAGCAGCTCTATTCCCATGCTTCCTCGAGACGGTTCAAACACTCACACTCGCGTTCAAAAAAACATATCGGCAAAGACCAGTCGCACCCCTCCGACCCAGAACAAGTGGCGAGGAACTTTGTAACTTTATATCCCGAACATTTGGCAGGGTTTCACACTGCAGACAAACGCTCGCGCACAGGCGTCCTGGTGATTGTCAACAGCACACGCCTTTGTTCCGCTCACGCACTCTTTACTTACACTTTCAAGCGCCAAAAGAGGAAAACACTAAAGTGAATTTAGCATTCCAAAGCTTCCGAGTACACTTCCATAATCCACTGGTGTTATATACAAAGCAGTACAGCAAATGATCCGATCCAAACTTCTTGTGTGCGTAGATTTGTTTGTTCTAACCGATTCCCTCAATGTGAGCAGCGGGTCCGCTCTCTCTAATCCTCTTTGTATGGGGGAAATGAATAGGAAACATTGTGCAGCTGCGATTGGTCCCAGACGCTTGGAATTCTGTCCAATAGAAGGTCGCATTTAGCACAGACCCGTTCCGTGATTGGTTAAAACTTGTGAGCGGCTCCATGACAGAGGCGCACGTAGGCAGAAAAAGAGCATCTAGTACTCCATAGCTATCTTTGGAACAGCATCTAGCATACTACTCATACTATTTTAGCAGCATGGAATGCCACATTGCAGTTCGTTGGACTTTCTCATTTAGTTTTATGAATGAACAGGAAGCAAAAATCTAAATGATCTCTTTCTTGAAACATTACTTGATTGGACTGTCAAAGTTTAAATTTTTACATCAAATAAGATTGAAAATGGAAAAAAATGTATTTGTTTCTGAGATAACTCGTTAAAATATGAGGTAATTTGACAAAGTGTAGCATACTACTGCTTGAAACCTTTCTTATAGTAAGCAATATACAGTATATACAGTTATCCTAGTATCCCAATGATATAGCCAGGGTTAGATCAAATTTGGCATGTATTTAATTGTTAGGTCCTAAACCTATGGGTCCTAAACCTTGCATGTATTGAACATGCCAGGTCCTAAACCTATGTCTATTCTTTGTACCAATGAAACAACCTTATACTAATAACCTTGACCAACTAGAATGCCATTTATTATGTATTTATAATACAAAGTTACATGCTAAAGTCTGCATGAAATAAAAAATTTACCCTGTTTCCTTTGTTTGGGCACATTAGTAGTCTTGTGGTGAACAATTAATCCATGCAAATTAATCCACATGAAAAAAAATTGTTCGTCTTTGTAATCTTTAGTCAAAATCTGAAAATTTAACCACTCCTCTCTAACCATCAGTCTGCTGTGAGCTAGAGATTGTGAGGAGGTGCGCTAAAATCAAGCCCCATCCTCTATTTATTTTTCCTCATGCAATATTCAGTTTCAATGGGAAATACGTCACAATACTGAAGTTAAGCCATTTGCAACTTCTGGTTGATGTGAACTTCAAAGATAATTACACTGTTTTATGAATGTAAAACGCTTACGATTGCAGACTGTTTTTATAGTATAAAAACAGTGAATTAAACATCAGAAAATAAAATATATTGCAAATAAAGTTCTCTCATTAACTAATTCATCTACACTACTGTATATGTCCAATACATCAATCAAAAAAAGTACATTTTTTAAAAGCTGTTTTAGCTCTACCCTGCATTAGTTGCAAGTTTATATTGTATTGAGAGCACACACAAATGTTTTGTTAAGAGGGGTCTAGGGTTCCTCAGGGACAAAGGAAGACCCAGGGTAACCCAGGGTGCATGTATAGTGAGTCTATCGCTCGTAAGATATACAATACCACTCATGTGCCACACTCAGCAGCTGGGAGTCGGACACAATGGAGTCTAAGTATCGTAAGCTAAACCCAGACTCGTCTCGCACTGCAATGTCAATGTCTGGAGCCATTACATTTTATATTTTGCAAGCTATTGAAATGTAGTAATTGATCAGGTATAACCACAGCAATTTTTTCCAGCTAACATGGAACATTCTCAGAACTTTCACTCAGAAACATTCTTGCAAAAGTTCTCTCAAAATTATGAACATGCATTCTTCCAGGAACATTAATAGAACCTCAGTTAAAAGTTACCTGGTCTTTAATAATGTTTTCAAAGCATTAGCACAAAAACCTCATTTATACATTGTTAATAGAATGATTTTCAGCAAAATTTTGATTGGACTTTCTTCTAACGTTTTTATTTTTTTTTAAATAGTTTTTATTAATACTAGAGTTAGATGGTTCACAGAACATTTAAAAGTAACTTTCCCATAATGTTTGCAAAATAATAAAAAAGGATCATTCCCTTCATGTTTCCTCTAAAGCTCACATAACCAAGAATTGTTTTTTTTAAACATTTAAAAAACTAGACATTTTGAACATTCAGAAATAATGTTGTCATTTCTTAATGAAACGTTAGCTAAATGTTATTATTACAACATATTTTTGTTTGCTGGATTGTTGTCTGCTATAAAAAGAAGACTTATCCCACTTTGATAAATTCTGTGAGACTCACCTCTATACTAGCATAGAAATACTCCATTAAAGTATATACTTTTTAATCCCACACATGAAAAAACACTAACCCCCGGTTTCACAGACAAGGCTTAAGCCTAGTCCCAGACTAAAATGTAAGCCTGGGCTGTTTCAACTGAAAGAAACTTGCACTGATTGATCTTAAAATATGTCAGTGCACTTCTTTTTTCTCATTTTCATTTTTCCTAAGGCATGTTTATAAAAATTACTTAAATGTCCTAACTGAACTATGGCCTAATCCTGGCTTAGTCTAAACCCTGTCTGTGAAACCAGGCGTAAATGTGTTTGATCTAAAACAAAAGATGCATTAAAACTTTTATGAATGCACCATGATCCATATCAAGTGAAATTATCTGAAGCCAGCATGATACAATTAAAAAACATGACATGATTTATAGCTCAAGTGCTCTGATGCCTCAAGTCATTTCCGTTCATAAAAGAGCAGTTTATCATCATTCATAATTTAACTCTTGAGGTTAAGCCTCCGACACACCTGCCAGACAGCCAGAGTGTGTCCACCTTTATTCTCACGGCCCAACCGAATACAACGGAGCTCAGACCCTAATTATAGCAGAAGCTGTCACACTCTCACAAGTGCAGCGACCAGACAATAGATATTGGGGGTGTGACAGATTTACTCTTCTGCTTGAGGGGAGAGCTCGCGTTGATGGCCTTTGTGTTTTGTGACTGGCAAACCTACCGATGGTGGTGACATAGTAGGCCCTCTTGTGTCTGGCTAGGTCAAGATTGCTGCAGGAGTCTTACCTCTTGCTTTTGCAGTCGGTATAGCTGGATGTGACCTGGAGTTTTGATATTTCATGCCTTTTTATAAAAAGATTTTGCATGTTGTATTTTATGGTGTGATATATTTGTGATATCTAAATCTATAATAAAGTGTTTAAGATGAAAGAATTTAATGGTTGATGTGACATTCTCTTTTGAGTTTCAGAGAAACAGAGCATGATAAATCAGCTACACTGAAAAAAAATTGATGTAGAAACAATTTTCACTCCACAAAACCCCTGTTATCTGCATCCTGGTATTTGAAATTATTCAAGTTTTGATTTTCAACTGCTAAAGCTGTTTTTATTGTGGCTTTGATGTACTAAATATATTCATCCATTATTCATTCTGATTACATTAAATGGGTCATATGATGCGATTTCAATTTTTCCCTTCTCTTTGAAGTGTTACAAGCTCTTGGTGCATAAAGAAGATCTGTAAAGTTGCAAAGACTAAAGTCTCAAATCCAAAGAGATATTCTTTATAAAAGTTAAGAGTTAACCACGCCTACCTAAAACAGCTCGTTCTAACATGCCCCCACATATCTACCTCACTATGTGGGAAGATTTGCATAACGCCGCCCAAATGTTCACGCAAAGAAAGAAGGCGTAACTTTTATTCTCACTGTAGTATTGTTGCTGCTGCCGCCATGCCGTGGAGACACTGTGTGCTTCGTTGTGAAAGCGAAACTACTTTGTTTGGTCTTCCAAAAGAGGACGATATCCGCTTCGTCATGCCTAGAGCTGATCTGTGCTGGTTGCTGAGGGAATACATCAATTTAGTGCTGTGGATCACCGGCTCGGCTTTCACCGTGGACGAAGCCCGGGGTCGTCACATGTGGTTGCCACTCCTTCGTCGAATCCGCTGGGCGCGCCGTTCTCGACCCTGCCGCCTTTGCTCACTCTATCCCGGCCTCAGCTCACGCTAAGCCGCGGCTTTCGCTCACGCTAGGCCGCAGTGTTTTTCGTCGTGAAAGCGAAACTACTTTGTTTGGTCTTCCAAAAGAGGACGATATCCGCTTCGTCATGCCTAGAGCTGATCTGTGCTGGTCGCTGACATTACACCAAATACACAAAATAATGTTCTTTTTAGCAGCATCATATGACCCCTTTAAAACAGAGGGAGCCAACTTGGCTTATATACTGTATGTATTAATCAAAACACGATCAATGCTTGCAGGGATTGATCAATTAAAAAACATTAAACAGTATACAACCCTTACCCTTTTTGAGCTAACAAACTAAATAAATGGAAGATGAAGAAGAAGCAATGTAATAACAAAATAATCAGTACCTTCTGTGTTTTCTGTCACTTGACTTTGTTGAGATTGTTTGATCGACTCGCATTGTTCTGTCTGGGTTGGCACATGAATTGGTATGGATAGCATCTGCGGTTCAAGAGGAACAGGGGTGTCCTTATCGGACACATCCTGTGTGGCTACTCCCAGCTGGAATTAATGTCAGAACAGAACATGGTCAGAATAGGAGCAAATAAGTGAAACTAATACAATTATGATACATACAAATAAAAAAAACTGACAAATACATTTCCATTTAAATTCAATCCACTTACTTGAGTTTGAACTGGCTGGATCTGGACATTAACTGCAGTAAGCTGTAGAGGTGCTGCTTTGCTCTGGCTCATGGGTGGCTGTCCATTCTGGGCAAGTGCCTGCTGACTCACAATAGTAGAATGGAAGATGGAAGCTTGGTGGCAGGTAACAGGCACTTTGGGTACCAGAGGAATAGGGCACTGCTGAGGCTGAGCTGGCAGGGCAGGCTGAATGGCTACAGCTTGCACTGTGTGAGGATGAATGGTGGTGGCCTCCAAGAGCTGCGTTTGACCTCTCTGCAGTATCTGAGGCTGCTGTATCACAAACTGCTGCTTGTGCTGCTGGAGCAGCTGATGGGTCTGAATTTGGGTATATGCTGGAATAAATATAACAAAAAAACAATTACATTTAATGGCTGATGTTTCAGTTTCAGAGAAACATGCAGTATGATAAACCAGCTATACTACAGTAAATAGACTATACACTCTTAAAAATAAAGGATTCCAAAAGAGGGGTTTCATAGCGATGCAACAAGAGCCATTTTGGATTCTCCAAAGAAAAAAATTCAGCGAACAATTCTTAAAAGATGTTTTTGTGAAAAATATATGAATAATCTAAAGAACCTTTTTCCACTATAAAGAACTTTTTGTGCAATGTAATTTTTCCAAGGATGTTAAATGTTCTCCATGGAACCATTGATGCCAATAAAGAACCTTTATTTTGAAGTGCATGAAAAATAACTACATAAAAAATATGTTCTGCATCAAACTATCCACATCATTGGTATTTTTATTCAAGCTTGCACCATCAACTGTTGGTTGGGTTGTTGTGCATAAGGAATTTCCACTAGGTAAATTCATCTAACAACAGAGAATTCACAACTGGGTTCAAATTCTGACCCAACATATATACTGTATGTTAATTTATATCACCTACAGGACAATAGATTTGGAAATTGGATGCGTATATATTCATTATAAAATATTTTGCTTGGTTGATTTTATATATAAAATTGCCCCAATATATGTCCCAATATATAATATATATAGAAAAGTCTCCAAATATACCTGAATTCACCACTATATATATATATATATATATATATATATATATATATAATGTTGCCGTGCTTGCAGACTATAATAAACACT